TCTCTCTCTCTCTCTCTCTCCATCACACACACCCACGCACACAACCGCCGCCCTCACTCTTTTCGAAATGCTTGAACCGGAGTCGATGCCATCGTCAGCATTCCACCGATCGATGTTCTTGACCGAACTGGCACGTGTCGCTCTGTGGCTTTCCCTTCAAGTGGCTTGCCTGTGGCAACGGCTCCCCCGTCATGTGGCTCATGCCTTGTCACGCGAGAATCTTCGAACCCAGCACATGTGTCGCTCCCCGCTGGTCAGGCCTACTTGAGAACGTCCATCAATTATTCGTCCATCGACAGGAACCACCTGCTGGCCATCTGCTGTCCAAAGGAGGCCAAGTTTACGGCATTTACGGAAAGCAACAGAGAAGAGCCATGCCTCACTTCATCCATAAACCCGCTTTAGTGGAGGAAGACACACCAGTGCTACTTGTGGGCCTCTCCGGCCCTGACGAAGATGCGATCGCCGGCGCGCAAATCTAACACACGCACCTGGCAAGAACAGGGTGGTCTTGGTGTTGCATGAAAATGCTGGAGTCCGTGGTGCCCTGACAAAGGTGCCCTGGGCATTGCAGAGCCCTGACCTCACGGCCCTGCTCGGCATCTGCCAGCGTCTTCACGTGAGCATCGAGGCACCGGACAGTCTCCGGGCCTTCTAGAAAGCGAACTGATCCCGCATGTTTTTGGGAATTTTCAGACTGTTGCTTTAGTTTTCTGACGAGTCCTCACGCTGAGGTCAGGGCATAAGCTGCCGAGAGCATCAAGAGAAGCTTGAGCTCTCAAGGAGAGTTTTTCCTGTGGTGGTGGCCGTCACTATAGATATAACTTGGGAATCTGAAGCATCACGAGGCACATGCTTTTCTGTGTTCTCCGCTGGCGCATTCCAGTGACGAGCTGCGGTGGGATAATTTCCTTTCTGCTTTGCTTGTTTCCAGATCCCATGCAGCTTGTTGTGTGCGGAGTCACCTAACATTTAGAGTGAGTAACTAGAGTCTAACATAAGAGAGCTTCTGCCACACACCATCCGCATGCAACTGCCAGTCTCAGGATGTGCGTTCGGCTTGCATGTCAGCAGAGCATCTCTTGATGCCTAACCGGTCTCCGAGCTAACGGAATTCACCCGGCTCAAGACGACAGTTAAAAGAATACAGGAATTGAAGACGCTGCCTCAGATCCTGGGCAGCGCTCTGCTGCCCGACACAGGTGTCTATCAACTACCATCACGCTCCGCCGGCAGTTCTCGTCGAACAAAGCACTAAACTTTCTCTGCCCGGCCTGACTTACCCTACAGGTGGTCTTAGCCAATTTTTAAAGGTGAGCAGAGAGCGATGCTACTTTGACTTTGCTTCTCATGGGCTCAAGCTGAACAACCTGTACCAAACTATCTGCGCCGGTAGGTGCCAATGCCCACCTCTGCAGCAAGAGTGGCAAGGTCGGAGATCCTTGGCTGTGAGAGGCTGACCACAGTCTCACTTCCGACCGATGCGAGGTAATGAATGGGTCACGGCCCTGTCGCCTTCTATGCCTTCTGCAGCAAACGGCACCCGCGGGGCAGGCTTGTTGAAACACTCTTCTTGAACCCACCTGAAGCCAACAACCCTCTAGCGAAGCACAAAACTCGACCCAAAACTCTGCTCCATTAACGTAAACGTCGACAGACTCCACCAGGGGTGCTTCAGGCAATTGCGATCTTGGTGACTTTGAACAACCGATCGCTTCGCATGTGGCCAAGATGCTTCTCGGTCAGCTGCCTCATCTCAGGCCTAAGATTCCATTCAGGGTCTCTTCGTAGAGTTCAAGCCTGGCTTGCACGAATGTTCACAGCCTTCCACTGACACGGTTCTGCCAAGCTTCCCCAAGCGCTTGTTGCTCGCCTCCACCTGAATACTAACAAACCGTGAAGCGAAGAGAAGTGAAACGGAAGCCCTGAGGACTTGCCAGTGTACCAGTTTTGGGTGAGGACTATCCAAGGGCAAGGCCCGTCTGCCTCGTTTGTTCTTCGTGATGTAGGCCCGTCAGCCGCCGTAAAAACTCTTCGCAGTTGCCACGGCACTGCACAACTTACGTGCGACATCCATCATGAGCTTGCTGACGGGCTGCTTCTGCCAGGTGTAGGATTTGCCTCTGCAGAAAGAAGCCTAAAGATCTCTTCTGTCTCGCAGTGACCTGTCTCGTTCTTCCAGCCTGTGCAGGACTTCGACAGACCGGTCGAGGCTGTAGAAGTCGGAGTCTTCAGAGTCTTGAAGCAAAGGCCGCGTCAGGTCTCTACCTTCGGCAGTTCAGCGGAAAGCCGACACTCCAAGCAATCTCGCTCACCGCCTCCTCCGTACACGAACTTCATTCCATTTTCCTGTGCGGGGCCGTGAATTCTCTGTGGGCTTCAGACTGTTCAGGTAGCAACTCTGCGATGTCTCGACTTTCTTCTGTAGTATTGCTCACCAGGCTATGGCCACTCGGTCCTTAGCAGGGGAGTCGTCCGGCCACCCGTCTGAGGCGGAGAGGGCCTTCTCCTTCTGCAGAATCTTGAACATTCCTCTTTCCTGCACTCCAAGACTCGAAGCACGAGCCGCCAAACCCTAAAACGAAGACGCAGGGCAGATAGCAGGAGAGGCGAACTCAAGACTGCAGAAAGATCAAACATGATCAAATTGGTTCCGAAAGGTGCACTGAATTCCGAAGGCCTGTCGACGCTTCTGGAATGCCATGCCATGGTTCTTGTCCTAAGGTTCACATGATTTCCCGATGTTCAACTTCGACTTTCGAATGGAGGTCTCAGCACCGTGCCCTTTTCTGCTGCGACACCAGGGAAGGTCTCTTGAATCCTTAGACACGCCGTTCAGGTCAATGCAAAGGGAATGTTGAAGACAACTCATCTGGATTTATTGTTTTGGGAGGAGTGATCACATGAGCTCGAATTCATGGGGCAACCGTGCTGAAAAATATGCTCTGCCCGGTACATTGGCCTGTACTTCTCGTACCGATGCTGGAGAGAACCCGTGTGGCAGTCAATGCCAAGCAGCCGATCACTTGGATGCCAGCTCTATGCATAAGCCAGCGCCATCGCTTGCTTTTGAAGACTTTTCCTTGAGCAGGGCCAGCTCTTGACATGGGCTTGAGAAATCGAACCTGCGTGCATGCGAGCATCCCCATTTGGGATCGCTGCCATCAATGACGAAGCCAAACTTCCAACCCTGCAGCATCGGCTGTCAGTGTGATTTATGCCAGTAGTGGCCCAAAGGCTGTGCAAAAGCTCGTGTCTGCATCCAAAAATCTTGTTCTCGAAAACACAGCAGCAGCCAAAACAAGAAGCATTGTCTAAGGGAAAGGCCTCGCGCAGGACCATAGGCAAGATCCATCGACGCCACGCTGGAACTATGATGCCTCGGATCATGGTGGACGTGCGCACTAAGCGCGTTTGCAAGCAGGAGTCTGGCAGGTAACATCAAACTCGAGTGGCACTCGGAACTGCCACACCGGTGAGCCTCGTGCGTTCTTTAGTTTCGTTATTTCGTATCAATGCAGTGACAAGTTTGCTGTTCTCAGCGGCCTGGGCTGTGATTTCAAGTCACAGCAACACTCTTTCGGCAACTCTGACCCTCACACGAGATAGCGAGAAAAAGATAAAGCAAGGGCAGACTTTCTGGCTTTATCAAACTCAGGTAAACGCTTGAGATCTATGTGCTTGTGGCAGACGAAGCCGCTCAACATAATCTTTATGAGTCGGACCGTTGTCTCATTTTGCACCACTGCAAGATGCACAGAGACAAGAGCCAGACAAGAGAACCTCTGCTTGCCGTATTCAATGCGTGCTCGGGTATGTGTCTTGTGCTTCAGGGTGTGGAAAACCCAAAGGCGCAGAGAGTGCACTAGGACTTGACTATGCAGCAACCGCTGCGGGATCCATAGCTCGTATTGCGCAACTGTTCTGCAGGTCGAGCTGGGAACTTGACAGATTTGCCGACCAAAAAGAATCCAAAACGATGCGCCACTCGGATGACCATAAAGCTCGCCAACCCCTGCTATCACTATTGAAATTCTGCAGACGGCTAAAACGCTTTGTCACCATCAGCAACCACATCTCAATCGCAGTCGCATATCGATCCACTTGAATTAACATGTAGTGTAGAACGGGACCCGGGTCAAACGAGTTTTCAACAGGAGAGGAGCTGAACGAAGCTTAGTCTTGCAGGCCAAGCCTCAGATGCATGCAGCTGCCAGGGCCAGTTTCATCGCCAGCGGTGGCACTCGGAAGAAAGTGCTCTGCGCTGCTATAACCTGTGAAGAGCGACAATTTGCCAACAGCTGGAACTACTCCAGCAAGTTCCCCAGCCTCTATCGCCCGATCGAAACACTGTTCCTCGGCTGTGCGGGCAACGAATCCTGGAGTTTTTGTCGAGGATGCCGCAAGTTGTAAAATGCACATAGATCTTATCAACAAAGATGCATTTAGCGTGGTGGTCTCGTTTCACGTCTTCAAGACTTGAAATCATCCCAGTGTTGATGCAAGCTTGGGGTCACGCAACGCTTAAGCCTTGTTCTTCCGCCTGACTCTCTCACCGGGTCACGGATACACTTCTTACAGCAAGCAAGTGCAGGAATTCGTAAGCTGCAAAGAATCATGCCAATCTGTGAAGGGAGAGGCTTTCAAAGACGACTCGAAGCTTCGCTTCTGTCACATGCTTGGAGCCTCTAGAGAATTTGGCCCAGGCATCCCATGCAAAGCCCACCAGGATGGAGTTGCCACCAATGACCTCTCACTGCATGTTGCATGCTTGGCACCCTACATTGCTTACTCTACCTGAGCAGCCCGGGACCGCGTGTGACAATGCCAACTGCAGCAATGAACGGAGCTGTCGCATTAGCCAGCTGTCTACATGTGGCACTGCAACAGAACAGGCAGCCAGGCCTGTATAATCGCATGATCCAGATCCTCGCCTGTGGCTTCCAGATCAGCCAGTTTGTCAAGGACCTTGTATTGCATATGTCCATGTCAACATTCTAAGAGCGACGGCGAGGTTTCCAAAAAACACGCCGAGCCGACACATTTTCGCAAAACGCTTGCAGGCGAGGCTCCCAAATTGCGACGACAGCTATGAAAGTGACCAAGGCAGCCAGAATAAGATGCAGAATCATCTTCTCCTCTCTAACCCCGGGGTGCTGAGGCTTGTGATCGTGCTGCGGGGGCACTGTCTCCACAGCTCGAACGAAGCTTGATACGAACCTGATATGATACGTGACAGTGTACATCTGGACAGAGCTGAGAGACAGAGCTTTTCCTTCACTGTCGAAGAGTTTTGTATATAACGTCGGGGACATATCCACTGGAAAGGAAGTCCACTAGCTACTTGCTCCCAAGCGGTCGACGATGAAGCGGGCCAGAGACATCTCGCGGGAGTGCGATAAATTGCTATGAGAATACAAAGAAAAAAGTTTCGCCTTTGCAAACGACGGGAAGCGATTTCTGGTGGGCATGTCACAGTCCAACTGGAGCATGTCGGCAGGCATGAGCTTCATATAAGCATGTCAACAGGTCCACACCTGGTAGTTATTGCTTGTTGCCAGACTGCGCGGCGTCCTCAGGACCAGTGACGAACAGCTGCGTGGCGACCAGCCACTTGCACCCGAAGTACATGCCTGTTTTACAGGGTACGAGTCAGAATCACTGCTGCAACGAATTCTCGCCACGTCAGCTATCCCTGTCAATTGCGATGGGACGAAAAAGAAGAGTATATCAGCTGCTCATAAACCCCAAGAACCGAATTATACAGTCAACAATGCACCAGTAATGCAAAATTAGTCCATTGTCTCCAACGACGTCCCGTCTCTCTCTCGAGTCTCTGCTGTACTGCGACCGTTCCGTCAAATACTTGCTGAAGAGGCCAAGGTGCACCAAGCAAACGCCTGATTGAAAGAAGCCCTTAGACTTTCTTGTGCGAGGAAACCGGGCACCATGCAAAGATGCTGCTTCACTGCAACACGAAGCATCTCCCGGAGCTTACTGTAGAGCAGCAGAGAGCCGGCTAACAAAAGCTCTGCAGCATCTTCCTGCTGCCTGCTACTCTGCCTCTTGAGGCAAGCTGCAAAGCCACTTGGTACGTTCGAGGCTCTTCACCGTCGCCATCGTCGCTAACATGCAGGCCTCCGCTCATCTTCAAAAGGGTTCCCCGAATCACCGAATCCATCGTTTGCACCACGGCACAAAACCCGTCACCTGTTTATACATGTATGTACGTGTCTGTCTGTATCTCCGCAGTTGCGCATGTATGTGTGCATATACGCACGTATCTGGGCATGTAGGTCTGTCTGTAGGTGTCTAAGTATCTAGGTATGTACGCATGTATGTATGTATTTATGTATGTACGTATGTATGGATGTATGTATGTATGTATGTATGTATGTATGTAGATGTATATGTCTGTGTGCGTGTGTGTGTGTGTGCCTGCCTGCCTGCCTGCCTGCCTGCCTGCCTGCCTGCCTGCGTTCCTGCCTGCCTGCCTACCTGCCTACCTGCCTGCCGGGCGGCCTGCCCGGCTGTCTGTCCCTGTCTGTCTCTGTCTGCCCGTCTCTGTATGTATTACATATGGAGCTATGTACGTATGCATGTATCCACACATGTATGCAGACAGACAGACAGACAGACAGACAGACAAGTGTACATGCATTCTTGAATACATGCACGCATCCATGCACAAATGCACGAGAATTCTCGAACCATTTTCGAGCGGTTCTGTCCTTTTTTCAGGTTCGTTCCTTTTTCTCAGATTCTCGAGGCTCTTTCGACCGGTTCGCTCCTCCTCTTCCTCAAATTCTCTCATATCTTAATTCTCTCATATCTTTCGAGCGGTTCGCTCCTGTTTCTCAGAATCTCTAGTCTCTTTCGTGGTTCGCTCCTCTTTCTCAGGCTCTCTAGTCACTTTCGAGCGGTTCGCTCCTCTTTCTCAGATTGTCTAGTCCCTTTCGAGCTCCCGTTTCCCCGCATTTTGAAGCCTTTTCGAGAGGTATGCTCCTGTTTCTCTGATTCTTTAGTCTTTTTCGATCCTTTCGATTCTTGTTCTCAGATTCCCTAGTGACTCTAGTCCCTTTCGGGCGGCTCGCTCCTCTTTCTCAGATTGTCTAATCCTTTTCGAGCACTTCGCTTTTCTTTCGCAGATTCTTGCGTCCCTTTCGAGCGATTCGCCCCTCTTTCTCAGATTCTGCAATTCCTTTCGAGCGGTTCGCTCCTCTTGCATAGATTCTCGAGTCCCTTTCGAGTGGTATGCTCCTCTGTCTCAGATTCTCTAGTCCTTTTCAAACGGTTCATTCCTCCTTCTCAGGTTCTTTAAAGTTCTTTTTCAGCTGTTCGCCTATCTTTCTCCGATTCTCGAGTCCTTTTCGATTTGTTTGCTCCATTAACCCGGATTGTCTAGTTTCTTGAGCGGTTCGCGACTGTTTCTCAAGTTCTCTAGTCCCGTTCGAGCGGTTCGCTTCTTTTTCCAGATTCTCGGATCCCTTGGGGGCGGTTCGCTTCTTTTTCTCGGATTCTTTAGTCCTCCTTTCGAGCGGGTTGCTCCTCTTTCTCAGATTCTCTAGCCCCTTTCGACCAGTTCTCCCCTCTTTCTCAAATCCCCCAGTCCCTTTCGAACGTTTCGCGCCTCGTTCTCAGATTTTCTAGTCCCTTTCGAGCAGTTCGTTCCTCTGAGCGGTTCGCTCCTCTGTAACAGATTCTCTAGTCCCTTTCACGCAATATGATCTTCTTTCTCACGTTCTCTTGTTCCTTTTGGGTGGTTCGCTCCTCTTTCTCAAATTCCCTGATCATGTTCGAGACGCTCGCTCCTCTTTCTCAGATTGTCTAGTCGCATTCGAGCGGTTCAATTTTCTTTCTCAGAATCTCTAGTCTTAGTCCCTTTCGACCGGTTCGCTCCTTCCCTCAAATTCTCTAAGCTTTGTCTCAATTTCTCTAGTCAATTCTGAGCAGCTCGCTCCGTTTTCTAGGATTCTCTAGTCTTTTTCGAGCAGTTGGCTCTTCTTTCTCAAAACTTTTATGTTACTTTTGAGCGGTTCGCTCCTCTTTCTCAGCTTTTTTGGTCCTTTTTGAGCGGTTCGCTCCTTGTGATCAGATTCTTTAGTTCTTTTTGGGCGGTTCGCGCCTCTTTCTCAGCTCTCTTGTCCTTCTCGAGCGGTTCGTTCCTTTTCTCAAACGCTCTAGTCCCTTTCGGGCGGTCCGCTTATCTTTCTCAATGCTCTAGTCCCTTTCGAGCGGTTCGCTCCTTTTCGTTAAAGTCTCTTCTCATTTTCGAGCAATTCGCACCTCTTTCGAAGATTCGCTGGTCTCTTTCGAGTGACTCGCTCCTTCTTTCTCAGATTCTCTAGTCCCTTTCGAGCGGTTCGCTCCACTTTCTCAAACTATTGAGTTCCTTTCGAGCGTTTCGCTCCTGTTTAACAGATTCTCTAGCCTCTTTCGAGTGGTTAACTCCTCTTCCACACATTTTAAGTCCCTTTTTGAGAGTTATGCTCCTTTTCTCCGATTCTCTAATTTAATTTCTTTCGATTTTTTCTCAGATTCCCTAGTCCTTTTCGAATGGTTCGCTCCATTTTCTCAGATTCTGCAATTCCTTTCGAGCGGTTCGCTCCTCTTGCATAGATTCTCGAGTCCCTTTCGAGTGGTCTGCTCCTCTGTCTCAGATTCTCTAGTCCTTTTCAAACGGTTCATTCCTCTTTCTCAGGTTCTTTAAAGTTCTTTTTCAGCTGTTCGCCTGTCTTTCTCCGATTCTCGAGTCCTTTTCGATTTGTTTGCTCCATTAACCCGGATGGTCTAGTTTCTCGGCGGTTCGCGACTGTTTCTCAAGTTCTCTAGTCCCGTTCGAGCGGTTCGCTTCTTTTTCCAGATTCTCGAATCCCTTTGGAGCGGTTCGCTTCTTTTTCGGACTCTTTAGTCCTCCTTTCGAGCGGGTTGCTCCTCTTTCTCAGATTCTCTAGCCCCTTTCGACCAGTTCTCCCCTCTTTCTCAGATCCCCCAGTCCCTTTCTGGCGGCATGCTCCTCTTTCTCCGACTCTTTCATCCCTTTCGAACGTTTCGCGCCTCGTTCTCAGATTGTCTAGTCCCTTTCGAGCGGTTCGCTCCTCTGTAACAGATTCTCTACTCCCTTTCGAGTAGTTCGCTTTCCTTCTCAGATTCTTTCATTCGTTTCGAGCTTCGCTCCTCTTTCTGTTATTCTCTAGTCCCTTTCGAGCGGTTCGCTCCTCTTTCTCAGATTGTCTAATCCCTTCGAGCTCTTGTCCTTTCTGAGCGATTCGCTCATCTTTCCCAGATTCTCTAATCCCTCTCGAACGTTTCGCTCCTTTTGGCGGATTCTCTGGTACTTTTCGACCGGTTCGTTCCCCCCTTCCTCAAATTCTCTAATCTCTTTCAAGCGGTTCGCTCCTTCATCTCAGGTTCGCTAGACAGTTTCAAGCGGTTCACTTCTTTTTCTCAGACTTTTTAAGTCTTGTCGAGCAGTTCGCTATTCGCTATTCCTTTCGAGCGATTCGCTCCTCTTTCTCAGATTGTCTACAGTAGTCCCTTTCGAGCGGTTTGCCCCTCGTTCTCAGATTCTTTACTCCTTTCGAGCGAAGCTCGACCGGTTCGTTCATCTTTCTTAAATTCTCTAGTCACTTTCGAGCAGCTCGCTCCTCTTTTTGAGATTCTCTAGTCCCTTTCGAGCGGATTCTCTAGTGACTCTAGTCCCTTTTCGAGCAATTCGCTCCTGTTTTTCAGATTGTCTAGTCTCCTTCGAGAGGTAGACCCTCTTTCTCCGATTCTTTCGTCCCTGTCGAGCGGTTCGCTCCTCTTTCTAAAAATATTTAGTTCCTTTGGAGCGTTTCGCTCCTCGTTCTCATATTCTCTAGTCCGTTTTGAGCGGTTCGCTCCTCGTCAGCAGATTCTCTAGCCCCTTTCGAGCGGTTAACTCCTCTTCCACACATTTTAAGTCCCGTTTTGAGAGGTATGCTCCTTTTCTCCGATTCTCTAATTTAATTTCTTTCGAGCATTTCGATTTTTTCTCAGATTCTCTAGTCCTTTTCGAATGGTTCGCTCCATTTTCTCAGATTGCCTACTCCTGTTCGAGCGGTTCGCTCCTCTTTCATAGATTCTGTAGTCCCTTTCGGGCGGTTCGCTCGTCTTTCTCAGATTGTCTAGTCCCGTTCGAGCGGTTCAGTTTTCTTTCTCAGATTCTCTAGTCCCTTTCGAGAGGTATGCTCCTCTTTCTCCGATTCTTTAATCCATTTTGAGCATTTCGATTCTTTTCTCAAATTCTGTAAGTCCATTTCGAGCGGTTCATTCCTCTTTCTCCGGTTCTTTAGTTCCTTTTTGGCAGTTCGCTTTTCTTTCTCAGATTTTCTAGTCATTTTCGTGGTTCGCTCCATTAACCCAGATTGTCTAGTCTCTTGAGCGGTTCGCTCCTCTTTCTCACATTTTGCGGCCCTTTCAAGCGGTATGCTCCTCTTTCTCAGATTCTCTTGTTCCTTTCGGGCGGTGCGCTCCTCTTTCTCAGATTCTCCAGTCATGCTCGAGTGGCTCACTTCTCTTTGTCAGAGGCTCAGTCGTCATTTTCGAGCGCCTCGCGCCGCTTTCTCAGATTCTCAGTGCCTGTCGAGCGGTTCGCTCCGTTTTTCTTAGATTCTGAAGTCCGTTTGGAGCGGTGATTCTCTAGTCCTTCTCGAGCGGTTCGTTCCTTTCTCCATTTTCTAGTCCTTTCGAGCACTTCGCCCCTCTTTCTCAAATTCTCTAGTCCTTTTCCACCGTTTCGCTCCCTCACAGACATACCTGCGTACCTGGGTACCTACCTGCCTACCTGCAGGTACGCATGCCTGCGGACATGCAGGCATGTGCCTACCGTGTCTACTATATGCCAGACTACAAATATACATATATCCATACACACATGCATATTGATACTCACATACCTGTTATCTAATTGTTTGCCTGTTTATTTAGCTACAGTATGCACACCACATGATGCGTGAAGATCTATCTTCCTGCGTATCCCGTGCGTGTGCACGTGTCGTCTGGCCTGCATAGAGGTCCAAGGCGACGGTACCTGCGCAGAATACGGCCCCTGCCTTGGTTGTCCGGCTGACGAATTCAGGGTAACAGGGTACATGTTTAGAATCTGGCCACAATGGGCGGCAGTGCCATGGTTATACACTGGACTGCCTTGCTATACTAGTACTATACCATGCTATACTCTACGATTGCCAAGCAGCCATCAAGAGCGTCTCGACGTCACTGAAGCTGCGGGTTGTTTGCACCGCCCAGCTATCAAGCCCTGGGAGCTACCGCAGGCGCTGATCTCATCCGACGCAGCTTGTAGCATGGTATAGTATACATGGTACTAGTACAGTGTAGTACAGTGTCGTATAGTACTAGCACTAGTACTGGTACTAGCACCAGTACAGTGTAGTATAGTATAGTACAGCCAAAGTACAGTGATAGAACAATGACAAAAACCTAGATGGTGTGGTGATGCTTTAGCGATCGAATAGCATGAGAATGGCACTACCGCACCAGAATAGTAATTTTTGCAGTACTAGTCCAGTCTTACCAGAGTACGCCGCAGCAAGGCAGTACATAACATAGCACAGAATAGCATAGTGCAGCATGATGAACGGTAAAGCATAACATGGGCACAGCATTAGCATAGTATCAGTCCAGTGATAGCACTAGTACTATTATTAGTACTAGCATTAGGTTGAGTACTAGTGTAGCACTGTCATTAGTATAGTATAGTACAGTATAGTACGTGACATAGCGCCCAGCATAGGTCGAATACAAAAGAAATAGTATACGTATAGTATAGTATAGTCGTACCGTATAGTTCAATGTAAGAATAGTTTAAAAATAGTATCGTGTATGGTGAAGCATAGAAAAGTATCGTATAATATCATACAGGGTTTTTTATGGGTTTTTCTCTAGGTACGGAGACGTAGTTGCAAGCGACTCGGCAGGCTTCCTCGCATCCTCATGTGGCGGCTTGGGTCTGTGTGAAATGATACATGTGAGCAGGTCACTCATGCCTTCAACGTCGGGCATGTAGCCAGATATCCAGAATCGCACCGTCTGGACCTAGCGAAGCCATGCGAAGCCACATTCAATGGGCAATGGCTACAATGTGACATCGATTGTCCCTGTTACAAGGGCACAGGTGTATCGTTGCTGCGAGCGGCGGTCAGAAAGGAGAGGGTCAACGCCAGCACGTTGTCCTCTGGCTCTTCAGCTTCCTCGTGCCACATGATGTAGCACCTTGCCCAACACGTCTCCCAACACTTCTCCAAACTTTGCGGAGGAGCTTGAACTCAAAACAGATCTGCTTCAGTAAGAGCCCCACTCATGATAAAGATCTTCCATGCGGTCGTCGTACAAGCTTGAGAAGGTTTTCCAGTTTTCGGCGACCCTTCCTGCGGCTTGGATGGGGAAAGCTACCTCCTTTGCATGGAAGTCCGTCCAAACACACGAATTACTTTGCTGACACGTTCGCGGCTGTTGCACCAAGACTCTTCTCTGCTCGTCGAAATACCTTGGAAGGCTGGAACAGACGCACTTGGTCAATGCAGAAATCATCTTGCCAGTGCGTGGCTGGAGACACTGGTCAGTATCCCATTCCGAACCGTTTATAAGCATGAAGTTTGCAATCAGGCTGCCACTGCAACAGGAGAAGCGAGATGGCCGCAATCACCTACCCAACTTCAGGTCACGATCGGCTCAGAGGAAGCGCTGGCAACCTGTCTGCCAGAAGGTTCGGCCAAACCTAACGCGGCCAAGAATCAACTATCCAGGCACTCATCTGCCAGCTGCTGCAAAACGCGTCCATTTGTTGGAGGGTTCCAAACCTTGCTTGCAAAAAACAAACGAGCTTGCACCTGTCACCATGCATTGTTGACAAAAGCGCTGGGTCACAATCAGCGAAAGCAGAGCCACGAATTGATGGCGGCAAAGCCGGCCACATGAGACAGAAGTACTTTCCAGCAAGTCATCTGCGACTGCAAGTCCTGCCCGGACACCCTGTGCTGAGCATCAGGCTCCCTGCGGCAGCTACATTACAGCTACGCTACCCCGACAGACGAGAGCGAGCGAGAGACAGAGACACAGAGAGAGAGAGAGAGAGACAAAGAGAGAGACGGGAGGGTCTGAGAGAGGATACACGAATCTGCATCGCCGCTCACGTCCTCAATGTGGTCGAGAGGGTGTAGCTGCTGCAGCATGACCTGAGCTGAAGATGAATCCTTGATCAGCCTTCTGCTGCCTGTCTTTGTTGTCACGGCCAAGTAGCATGCTCTGGACTAAATAGCGATGCAACTGCTGTCCAAACCTGGGACACTGGCAAACCACACAAAACCATAGACTAATCGACGAATGCTTCACGATCCATGGGGAGCGAACTCATCGCCACATGAGTCTCTTTTTCGGGAATGCTGGTCACTTCCGCAAAACATACGCCGACGCAGTGCCGAATATCCTTTCTCGACATGGCAGTCGAACGTTCTCGGCATGAGGAATGACGCAGAAAAGGAAAGCTCTCAAGACTACGATGGCCTAAACCGATCCGACATCATCATGATCCCAACCCTGCCCGTCCAGGCGGCTTGCATTCGTCTGCATGAGACCATGCGAGAACCCGGTGCATTGTGCAGATGGCATGTCGAGATTGGTGCCAAGATGCCGACACCCTCTCTGAGGAGGGCCGCATGCCTGGAACCTGCGGGGAAAGTTGCTAGCTTTGCCCAACTGTCGTGGAGGCCGACAGCTGTTGTTACTGTGAAACGTGCATGCCTCTTTGAGCTTGTGCTTCGCCAGGACGATGGCGCCCTGAAAGGACATGTAGTACCTGTTTGCTAGCCCGACGTTGAAGGTCGTGCGGCGTCGGGGAAGCAAGTCTACACTCAGATTAGGCAAGATGCAAATGAAATTCCAACGCGCCATACCAAACCTAAGACAACACTGACGACATACCATGGGCCGTGCAGGGTCTCTGACAAAGCTGCTGCGTTTTGGGAACGTGGTGAGCAGATCCTGCATGGTAGTGTTGTACTCCACGGCTGTATTTTTGAAAGCTCGTCCATGCTGGGGGGGAAAGGATGAGCTCGATCATCAGTTGCATTCAAGCAACAAGCATCTGACACATCTGGACCTCAGAACAACTGCTTCTCCAGTACTCTAAAGGAAAAGCTTTGAAGCTCAACGAAGCTGCGACATAGGCGCCACGAGATGGAATTGTTGAAGGCCGAAGACATTCACAACCTGACCAGGAAAGATCCACCCCAAGCCCTCAACCTAAACCCTAAAGCTCAAACCCTAGGCCCTAAACCCTAAGGACTCTGCAGATCTGTGAAGCCTTGACGGTGACGTCATTCACATATTGGAAAATCATTACCTCGGAAGCAAGGGACAAACATTTAGGGCCTTGGGTTTAGGGGCGGGATAAGATGCAACAAACATAGAAGTTTCTGTGGTGGCTGGTTATCAATACTATAGATCCTTACTATAGATCCTTCCAAACTACAGCATTACACATGCCACGACAGTCCTTTTTGTTTGGGTTTAGGTTTAGGGTTAGCAGTAGCAGATGACATCAGAGGAACAAAACAGCCAGCACATGCAAGGTACAGCACAGAAGATCGCGATGGTCTGACTGATGACTTCATAACTGTACCGTCTTATGTCCTTCAGAGCAAATCACCCAACTTCCCTGCGGTGCAAGACCTGGTTGAGCAGGCTGGGTCTTTCTGACTTGCTAACACCGTCGACACAAGCACGCGGAGGCAGAACTCGACCTGGGCGGTCAGCAAGCTGGACGTCCTTGTCGGAATTGTTCGTCAAGTATGTCAGGGACATCAATAACACCATCGCTCCAATCAAAGTGCTTGCTGCACCAACCTGGGAGAGGAGCCCAGAAGGCCGCATGGCAGGGTCAGGACTCGTGAGCACATCCAACCGTGAATCCAACCCTTTGGATTCACAGCTAAGTGACCAATTAATTTGCATTGACCGATACAATAGCTGATAGCTGCACTGGCCACAGTACAACATGCGACTGAGTATTTGGGATTGGCGGCCTGAGCTTAGGCCAGATCCCGTCGAGTCGCATTATCAAGCATTTCGCCGTCCATGGCAAAGTGAGGGAAGCTGCGCTCCGCACGAACCTCTGCCGGCGTGCGAAAGGCTCTTCAAACGGCCATGATCATCATCAGCTGCTGCGAGCAGTTTTGCATGATCTTCCAACTTCGTGAGGCTTGGCTGAGGCTTTTGCCTGGACATTGGACATGTTCCTTGCTTCTCTTCGTGACGTGGGCTAAGCTGAAAGCTCGAGCCAGGGAGTGAAGGCCAAGAGAACAGAACTCCAGTCGGAGCAAAGGCAAGGCAAGGCTTGACTCCGATCTCCGAACCTCAAGAACCTCGGAGAGAGCAAAGAGGAGCAGCAGCAGGGCGCCCTCAAAGAGCGATGCTTGAACATGAACAGCAATGATACGAAAGGCTCTGTGTGCGGGCTGACCTCCATGCCGTGGCCAAGGGCTACTGACCTCAGAGGCTTCAAGACATGCCAGTGTTCAAGATCCATCCGGGGCTGTTGGAGGGACCCTTGGGAGGGTTTCTTGGGATAATGACGCGAAAAGACGAGGGGGCTGGTGTGGCGGGTGAAGGACCATGTCCGGGGCATATACTGCGTGCGCCAGCGAAATCCATTGAGCATTAGGGGTCCACGAATGCATGCACACACGCTCGGCGCACCATGTCTCTGTCTCTGAATAGACACAAAGCACGAGCATCAACCCGTATCAATCATATGAGCCTGCTCATGAACCAACAGCTCTAGAATGCTCGAGAATATGTTTTGGTAGCTCCAAGACTCTGGTAGAAATGTGCTCATGCAGCAGATGACTTATGAGCCGGTGAGGCGCCCCGGTTTGGGCCCTAGGCTCACAACGGCTCACCTAACGTGGGAAACTATGACCCAGTCTCGCTGATCTGCCGAGCATGATGAACGCAGGTCCACTCCAACCCAAGCCTGCATTCTTTCACAAAGCATTGCGAGCTCTCTTCAACATACTAAGGCTGCAGGCGCAAATGCAGCCAGGGTCATCAGGAAGTGGATGTCGAGCTGAGCCTTGGAATCAGCTACAGTGACGTCAAAAGGTGAGCAATGAGCAGAAGGATGTAGCGAGGAGCCGACTGCGTTTTGCATGGCTCCCGCCAATGCTGGTATACCATAGACCTGACAAGATAGATACGAAGGACTTCCTGAATCCTTGAGAACTTGCACGACCCCATCGACGACTGCAACAATGTTGAGAGCCAAGGTACGATGTAGACCAGCACTGGGCCTGCCAGTCCTCAGCAGAAGCATCCGGCCACTTCTTCGCCAGGCGGAATCAACAACAGTGTGAGAGCTCTGGGAAGGCACTGGCAGATACCAGCTTGCAGCTTGCGCATGGTCAACCGTGGAAACAGGTTTAGGCTTGGTTGATGTTCTGAGTGTGCAGCGAAGGCTTCGGGACATGATGCCTGGTCCGATCAGCTTAAGGACTGGATGCCAACTCTGTCCACTTGGCCAGGCCTGGCGTCTTGACACATGCTAAGAGGGCTGACATCACAAAGGCAACGGTCACGACGGTGATGGACGTCTTCGTTCTGGACAGATCTGAGAGGCGCCGAAGTGCTGGCGCCCCCGGAAGCCAGTCTGGAACCTCGCCGTGGCTGTGCCCGTGCCCACAGCAACCACCGTGACTATGCCCGTGATCATGATCGTGATCCGCCACAGTCTCATGACTGTGACTGCTGTGGCTGTGACTGTGGCTGTGGCTGTGGCTGTGACTATGCCCGTGTTCATCGCTTTCACGGGAGTTCGCGGAGGCAACGCCGTGTTCATGCTCGTGGCCGTGACTATGCCCGTGTTCGTCGCTTTCATGGGATTTTGCGGAGGCAACGCTGTGTGAATGCTCGTGGTCATGGTCATGGCCATGCTCGAGATCCTCATGATCATGGCTCCTGACGAGAACTTGGCGCGGCCGTCCTTGCCGAATGCTTCGTGGTGCTGTGCGTCGCACACGCCGGCTGACTGCAGCACTTGCCGCGGCTACGGACATGGCGGCAGTGGACATCAGTCCGTAGCTTGCCACCGGGTCCTGTCCGGCACTCTCTTTCGGCATGTCGGTGAAGCCTAAACTTGGCAACATTGGTTCTGGCGGATGTTGCACGGTGATGGGCCCAAGTCTCGTCGCCGGTTCCATTGCAACGGATGGTTTGAATGATCCACAAGTCGGAACACGACGGAGAGATGGCATCTACAGTGATGCGTGCCAAGCACTGCCTACACTTAGCTGGACATAGCTGGACATGCTCGAGATCTCACTTCCCATGTCGATAAACGAGATGCATGTGATCCGAGACTTTGCGGTTGATCGCACTCGCAGAATGCGTGGTTCAAGTTTCACCGAAGTCCACCTACGAACGGCCATCACTTCAGACAGTTTAGCTTTACAGCGACGGTTCCCACCTTCCGGGATACGAGGACGGGGCCTGCCGCCGTAACAACTTTGGACTGTAACACGCGCTCCATGTAAGAAAGGGGCCAAGCAAAGCTGGTGACTGCCCTTCTTTACCTACCACTTCCTTTTGATGTCATGTCGAAGGCCTGAGATTATGGCCAGATTTCGATGCACATCCCCGTGTTCTCTTGTACGATATCCACAGCTGCGTCCTCTGCCTACCCCTATAATAGCCTGAAGCATGGGTCAAGTCGAAAGCGAAGCCAGTTTGGGGGGTTAGTTAAGCTAGTGTCATTCGGTTGCTTCTAATTCGCCAGGCTTTTTCCAAACGCCCGTGCGAACTAAACCGCATTGGCGACCCTCTGGCTGAAAAAGTGACTATGACTATGGTGCATGGATTTGAAGGTGTGCAGAACGGACCACAAAGTGACTTGTCCCAGCTCCCAGTCCCCTGCCTGGATTGGGCCAGTGGCCCGGGTGGCGGCGTACGGCACCAGCTCTTACTGGGGGGTTCTGCCCTTGGCTTCCGAGGATGCACTGAATCCTTGTGAGAACAGAGGTGACTTGATACAGAAATGCTGCCAAGTCGCCATACAGCCGGCGGGAACTTGTGGATCGCCTCGGTTTCTACCAGATCTGAGAGTTGTCAAACCTTCCACATTGCGATCCCTTTGGTTTGAACGGGTCTCCGAAGCACGTCTGCAGCCTCGCCCGATCTGCGCTTACTGCATTCCTGGTGCATCTGGTTCATTCCGCAGTAAAATGAAAACCCGTGGTTCCCAAACATGGGACATGGCTAGACGCAAACCAGGCCAGGCTCCGGGCAACTCCGGAGGTGCCTGGGCTTAAAGGCCGGTGGATCCTCGGCTCTGTACAAAACCAACAGAGCATACTTGGAGGTGCATGGGTAGTTATAAGTAGGGTTATAAGTCCCCTAATATGGATAGTTACCAGTTACCCTACTTATAACCCCACTTATAACTACCCATGAACCTCCAAGTAGCGGAGCATAGCGGAGCTGATATTGTGCAGAAACTTGGCGTCCCTGCACTCGCACGCTGGGGCTGCGCCGAGGAGTTATGGCCCTTGCATCAGGGAATTGTAGGGCACCTTGGAGCAGGAAGATCGCAAAGATGAGAGAGAGCTCTGCAGCCGACTGCAATAAAAACCAGGGATGTCCAGCTGCTAGCGGGTATCTGACGACAACATAGTGAAGAATTGTGAAGAACCTCCAGCTGAGGTTTTCACAGCTGCCAGCATCGCGCTGCAAGGCCTTGGGGCAAGCATTGATCGATTCAGATCGCACAACGGGCAAGTCGGAGCGACGTGCTGGAAACGGCGCATGCAACAGTTGGCTCGCGAAACATGATGGATGATGGGCAGTCTTCGGTAACTTTGTCAGATGTACTTGCCGGGTTCGGTCTGATTGTGTATGAGCAACTGAGATCTAGCCAACTGCAACTCTCTTGGCCACGATTGTACCCCGCTCGCACCCTGTTGCAAGCTTTGCCACGGTACCTCCATTTCAGCATTTTCATCCCTCTCCACCATACTGCATTGCGCTGTTGATCCAATCTCTGTTGAGCCAGTCTCCCGCGCCTTGACATGGCCTCGCACGCACAGAGAGCCTGACATCCTGTGCCATCATGACGATGAAACTGCTCAGGGTTGGATGGATGAAATCGGAGCTGTAACAGGGCACCCTGTCTTGCGGGTGATTCGTTAATGAAGATTGCCTGAGACGCTCTCGTTCCGCGGAGAACAGAGCGACACCACTCTGACACTCCGCTTCCCTTGCGTCGGCCATGGTTACCCCTCATTTGCCCAACACTCGCCCCAGTTTCTTCTTGCCTCTCCCTTTCCCTTCCATCACTCCCTTTTGCTGTGCTATTTCCCGCCTTGCGTCTCCCCTTCCCTTTGTAAATACCTGATTCACCCTTGAATTCCATCTTGTTTCTACAATCCTTCCGCCGTCCTTCCTCTCTATGTCCTTCTTCTCTCTCTTCCTCCTTATGTTCTTAGTTTCTGTTTTTCCTCCGTTCCCCCCCGGCCCCCGACGTGTGAAGCGAACTCTCCTTATTCGAGGTTGAAGCTGTAGATAGCTTTTCAAGATACCTTTCTCCTAAGCAATGCGGTCGCGGAAAGCCCTCTCAATACTGCTAGTGGCTCCTTGGTTTGTCGCCACATTCGCTACTTTGTTCCCAAGTTTCTACGTTAAAGCTGATCGTATCGCTGTTCGCTCCTTCATTCATCGCTGTCGTTCGCTTGTTCATCTGAGTGATCTGAGGAAAACCCTGGTGGACTGGTGAATCGGGCAGATTTCCTCGCTACTTAGCTACTTTCTCCTCGCGGCGCAATAACCTTTACATGCTTGAATCTCCTGACAAAATGTAATTGGGGTAGGCGTGCCCGAGTCTATATGCTGTCGATGGCAAGGCTTTCCATGGTTTTTGCCAACCTTGGACCAAGGGAGATGGACAAAAAGTCATTGACTCTGACGGACGACGCACTGCTGTCAAGCTGGTCACAAGCAAGCGCATGGTATCGGAGCATGGCAGATTTCGCTACGGCACCGCGGCAAGCGCCAGCCGTCGGCATCGGTGTTGCCTGCCAGCTGCCAATGTTTCGACCGAGGCACTAATTGCAGGCTTCCCGGCTCATGTCTGCAATGTACTGCGCAGAATGTGTACGACGCTCAACGCATGTATCTGCAGTGCTACTCACCAGGCTTCGGATCATGTGATGCCCGCGAATAAACGCATATCAGTGACACAGCGAGTGAAAAGGCCCGCTTCGGCTTCGATGCTAGGATAACAACCGAATTCTGGCCTCACTGCGAGGTCGCGCATCGTGATTGACAGCAGCCTCTTGCACCGTCCCTGGCTGATGGAGTGCACAGCTTCGGAGCAAGCTTGGTGATGAGTCTGCATAGTTCAACCACCTTCGCAAAACGCAGCGAAGACTTTAGACTTTTGTCCGTTTGCCAACGTGCTCCCCTTGTTAGTCTTATGATGGTGTGACCAACTACCTCTTTGAGGTGCACGGGTCGTCGTCGCATGGAGCTGCTACCGTGGAAGAGCCTACTTCAAGGCTGCACCAGATGCAAAGACTGCCAACATCTGCCAACACTGTACCGAGCTTGCTGCATCAAAACACATGATGCTGTGACTGTAGCGGTAGTGCCCATCATCTGGCCACGGTGCAAACTCAGACCTTCATATAAACGTCACACGGCGCCCGTGTTGGTCGCACATGCATCTGTCGGGAGTCCATCCCGAGAGGCCAAGCTAGGCACGATGCACAGCCTGGGGCTCGCTGTATCTCGCTATTGATTCGGTATGTTTCGCTCTTCCAAACATCAGTTTCTTTTGGAGGGTGCGACCACCAGCTAACGAGCGAGACGGCAATTTGCTGTCTCGCTCTAACTTTCTCACTGTGGCCCTGTATGGCTGAGCTGTGAAACATAACGCTGAAACCAGACTTCGAGGTTAGGCTACCACAAGTACAGACTGACGCTCATCGTGGCAAGAAGCATCACAGCCAGGAGCCGATCATGAACACGCTTCAGAAGGGATGGTGACCAACATCTAGCCTTCCAGGGCAACGTACAATCCTCTCCATCTTCTATCATGCATAATGCTGCATCCAACAGTCTGGGTCAGTCCTGCGGCATTGCCGTCGTCACTCTCCGCGGCACCATCGCCGAACTGTCACGGACAGGCTCTAAGTGCAATGAAAGCAGTCCTGAGCAGCTTAAGGCTTAGGCCACGCATAACCACTGGAGTGGCCAACAGGGAGCTGACTCCAAGCCGGACCAAAGTCGCTGCCCAGGGCCACCGGCTAGTAAAGGAGAGCAAGGAGGGAGGGAGAGAGCGAGAGAGACGGACAGACCGGGGAAGAGAAAAACAGTGGGCAGAGAGAGAGAGAGAGGGCACACGCTCGAGGGCGTGAAGGCAGAGCTGAGAACACGTGGACGCCCACAGGATGAAGTTCAGCTCGAATCTGTTGAGTTATCTGTTGAGTTTACCAGAAAGACAGCGAACAGGCTTGCTGCATGCCAAAGCGATTTTATCGTGGACGGCGATCCAAGCAGACTTAGATGCAACGCTGGCCCACCAGCGTAGGAGACCGGCTCGTGGGTGATGGGAACGAACTCGCATATCCTGGCAAGCAGGGGTCCCTTCCGAACAGCTCCTCTCGATGATCTTGCGATGAACAGGGAAAACATGAAAGTATCACATGCACAGGTGGCCTTCAGAGTCCGATTCGAAATCATCTTCGAAGTCCTGCAGATGGGTGGAAATCTCAGCGGTCGGATGAACTTGATGCCACGGCGCTTCTTCTTCTTCCGCTTCTGCGAATTTTGTCTCTCGTCAGGGAGGAAGGCCTCGATGTCCTCTGGCTCTGGATTCGCGATGCCTGATGTGGCCTGGACGTCGGCCTGCAAGGGCACTGGACAAAGGCCTGGAACACAGCCCGGGACCATCCCCAAAACATCAAGGCTATGAGGCTGGAGGTTCGGTTTCTGGCACGGAAACCGGCGACACCTCGAATGGGGACTGGATACGGCGCCCCAAGTTCGACAGAATCTTGTGCCTTGTGCTGTTGTCTCTTGACGCCGAGCCCAACACGGTTTTCAAGACTCAGGTCTTCACGAGCGTGAGGGGGGCAAGGTAAAGACCACCCATGCCAAACCAAATGACATCTGCGGCTCATCTATGAGTAACTTCACGGCAACCGTCTATGTCATGCTACCGAAGCGAGGCACTACGAGTAGGCTGAGAGTAAAAGTCTGGCAGCTTGCAAAGGAGTGCAAGAAGTGGGGTTCCCCAGGTCAGGGGGGGTTCCCAATACGCCTCACCATCCGCGGAAGATATGTGCAGCTTCTGAAGTTCTGGGTCAGTTCTGTTTCGCTGAAGCAGCTTATTCTCACAGGTGTGGACACTTGTCCTGTGATGAACAAAGGATCTCTGATTCCGTGCCTTCGCATCTGATGGCTGGCTCATTGGCTTCTCGCCTTGCACCTCGTCATTCTGCCCTTCGCCTTCGATGTTGTTGAGGATCGTAGGCTCGACTTCAGTGCCGGCCTGGACAGCAACACACACACACACAGAGCAGCAGCAGATATGTTACAGAGAACCTCGCACCGACGCGTGCCAAGTCCAGCCCTTCCCTGATCAGCTGGGCTGCCCTGGAATCTCCCCCCTTTACCGGCAAAGCCTTCTGACATCAAAAAAAAAGGAAGTGTGCGCCTTCGTGCTCGTCGCCGGGATTTCCGGCTTCTCATCCTTCCCACCAAAGGAAAAAAGAAGGATGCCTCATCACGATCAAAGCTGCAGCCCAGCCGCCTCTGGGGGCGGAGACTCCTTTCGTCGGGGGGTTCGCAGCAGAGCCGTCTACTGACCGTATGGATCAGATCTACGAATGCAGTCCGGCCTCGAGATTGCCTACAGGCCCTGCCGGCGCGAGCTCACCAGTCGCATCTACCTTCGCTTGTGAGTACTGTGTCTTGAAATTCTTGTCTGCCTTTGGCAGAAACTCCCGCACACACACCCTCATGCCTGCCAAAAAATCGCAAGACATGTCGCCAACACCCCAAGACTGATGCGTTTTGGCAGCGCCTCTTCGTCGGAGGAGAGCTGCGCCAGGTCACCCGATGCCAAGCGACTGGTCTTCTGCTTGTTGACCTCCGACTGCTCTCCGACTGCTCTCCCACTGCTACGAGAAGCTGATCCGCAGGCGCCTGGAGACGTCCGTGGCCCTGCACTGCAGAGGTTTTGAGTGCGGAGCCAGGGAGACTGAACCACATTGAAACACGACGGACGAGCCCGTCTGAATTGGCAATTAAAGCAGGCCCAAACAGCCACGTGGCCTGCGGTGAGTCGGGCCCCTGACCACGCATGCCATGGCTGTTTCACATTCTTGTTTTCAAGGCGGCAGGATGCGGCAGGCCTCCGTGCGCGTCGTGACAGCACCCGTTTTCACGCGAGCCTCGCTCTGCATTCTGTGCACGCTGCACGACAGCTGGCTCGCACACACCGAGGGCAGCGCCACAAGCCCGCCGCTGCCCTCCTGCCGGGTCATGCGGCTACGTCTGATGCCCTGACCTCTCCTCTGAAAGCAATCTGTCGAAGAATCTGCAAGCCGCGTGCCCGTCCTGTGTGCCGGGGTCAAAGGCCACGCGGTGTCCTGCAGGCTCGTCGTCCTGGAGGCAAAACTCGGCCGAATGGCTGTGCTCTGGCTTGCAGCATTCTTTGGACTTTGCGCGGCCTCCTCATCATCCGAAGGCAACTCTGCCATGCCGACGAAACCGGTGCCGCGCCGCACCTCGGCTTCGCCCGAACCATGGTGGCTTCGGCATGCGGGCTATGTTCATCTTTCGGCGCAAAACCTCCCACATGTTGTTGAAGTTGTTGACCTACAAATCGCACAAGGCTCGGTGTGCGGCTGCTGGCCCAGCATCTGTGCCAGCCTGACAGAACAGCAGGAGGGACAGGCCCAGTTTCGGAACACCCGACCATCCCCACTTGCCTGCGATGAGGGATCGAAGGCCACATGCCTTTGGGAGTCAGGCTCCTCCTCCTGCAGTTCGCGTGCGCTCATACCGCTCGCCGACCTCTCTGCCTCCCGCATCCCGACGCTCCTCGTCCGAGGGTAGGTCAGCCGCACTCACGAAGCCCGTGCCCCTGCGAACCTTGTCTGGGCATGAGTCAAGCGCAGCCGGAACTTTTACCTCAGAAACATCTTTTACTCCGGCTTTCCGCCATGGGAAATCGCGTCAAGACCCAAGCAGCAAGGATCGGAGCTTGGTTTGTGAAATTGTATGGAACACTCCCCTTCCCCCTCAAGTACGGATCTAAAGCACTATGCACTTGCCTTTTGGAATCTTGGGTGTTACTGCCTCTGGCCAAAACCCAAAAGCCCAGCATCGGCACGCGAATCTAAGCAAGCTGCTGCCGGCCCTGCATCTGTGCCGGCCTGTCGGCATCCGGCACACAACACGCGACCTCCCCCAACTTCTCCTCCCTCTGCAACATACGATATCTACCGCGCGCTGCTTGCGCGCCTGCGTCGAGGGATCGAAGACCACATGTGTTCGCGCACCATCTTCCTCCCGCCACACGACAGACACTGTATGAACTGTCTTCACTCCAAGTCGTGTCCCGATCCTCGTCATCCGATGGAAGATCGCCCACATTCACGAAGCCGGTGCCCTTGCGAGCCTTACGAGTCTGTTTCACTTGCGAAAGAATATCCTCCTCGACCACAGCATGGAGACTGGGGCAAATGCCACGGGCTTTCCCTCCCGTTCTGTTTGAGCCTCCAGCTTTTGAACTAGTCACCATGTCTGCTAAAGTAATGCAAATGTCCGATGAGTGCCAGTAGTTACTATGTGAAAGTGTGTGCTCGGTAAGTCGTCTTAGTTCGCTTGCTGCAACGTGCCTCTTCTGCCGGCTTTTCGAAGCCAACCTTTCTCCGTCCAGCCTCCCATGCCAGGCCAAAAGAAAGTGACTATGGGGCTGAGAGCTCGGCAAGCTTGCAGCAAGATGCTCGCGATGCTTCTCGGGCCTCCGGAGACCCAGGCTCGTCCTCCTCCTCCTCCTCGTCCACCAGATCGGCCACATCTTCCTTTCGGAGAAATCCTGTGCCCTTCCGGCCCAGTTCCTCACAGCGACGCAAAGCCTTCTCACCCTACAAAGCAGTCGAACGCCGACCCTTCCCCAGGCCTTCGCTCTGTGCGCTTCCTGCACGCAATAAGAAACAGAATCGCTTGCGCGGGTTGCCCAAAAAGGGCAAACGAAGACCCGATGCATGGTCTGACATATTGGGACAAGGAAAACATAACGGCAATAGTGAGTCCAAGCTTGGACAGCTTGGATTGCAACTGCTTGGTGCACTGTTGCAAGTTCCAACACTCCCCTTTCATAGAGTTGGTTAAGACAAAACTCAGCGAACCCCCCAGATGATCTGGAAATGAAGCGATCAGCTGGGCTTTCGAAAGCTTTCCAACATAGAACTTGCCGTCTGCCGGCGATTCGCGTCTGGCATTTGAGCGTGAAGAGCTGACAGCGCCACAGCAGTATGTATGTATGTATGTATGTAAACACTTCCCTGAGACCAGAAGTCTTCTCCGGTACTACCAAACTCCCAAGAAACGTCCCTACGCGCTTGGAAAACTACCCTTCACCTTCTAACTCTAGGCAAAAGGAGGAAAAACACGGGAAACTACTTCTTCAAAGTTTAAAAGTTCCAACTACACTCCAAGCGCAGTCAAACGTGCTTGTAGCACCGTGCTTCCTAAGGAAAACAACAAGTTGGCCCGGACGCCCACCTTTATCCTCCCAAGGGACGATAAACGTTTACACCCCCTCTGGGCGGTCGGGTCACTCATCCTCCTTTACAGCGACTTGAAGCCAGGATGGTGCGCTGCTGCAGATGCCTCTATCCCGGTGCGTAAGCGGAGTGGCGAGATGAAGACCGTTGCATTCACAACTTCGGTGAAAGCGTGTCCCCTCGCAGTAAGGAAAAGTAACTGAACCATGGCATCCTCAAACACCTGGAGACCGTAGTGGTCCATTCCGTTGGCAGGATAGCCACAAAAACGAAGAAACGAGGCGAGATGGTTGCACAGAGGAACTTAGTCACTCCAGACCATCCAAAACCCTCCTACACAGTACCTCCGGGTAGTGTTGTGTTTCTCGAAGCACGAAACGGAGAGAGTGGCTGTGCGACTTGTCGCACCGAAAGAGGTTGAGACAACTCGCGACCCTGGCGTTCGTGACCATCAACCTCCAGCGCTTAGCTACAGGAAGCCCGTCATTCCCAAGAAGCCCGGCAGCACAGCCATCAACGTATGAGGTGTGCACTCGGTAGTCCAGGCATTCGAAGACTCTGCCTGCTTCCAGTAGGCGCATCGAGCAGGCCATTCCACTGCCCAGTGGGGTGCAAGATTGCACATGGTCTTCACCACAGA